TTCTGCGTGTATCTTTTTTTTCCCCCAGCCGTCTAGAATAGTGGCTTGTCCACTAAATGGCTGAGGGGTTAAGTCTAAAGAAATGAACCAAATAAAGAAATGCTTCCAGAAGTCTGGAAATTCTAATCCAGAACAGAGAACACTTCTAGACTTCACCTTTATTTCCTTCTGCCCTGAGAGGGTGCTGCACAAGCAAGAGCCTAACCTCTCCATTCCATCCAAAACGGGCAAATTCAAGCAAAAAAACAAGAAACCAATAACAACTCTCTTGTCTGAAAGATGGTCCGCTGGTGCCAGGATTCCATCCACTGATTTTTGTAAAAGAGGAAGGCTGTGTTTGGGGTTTAGGGTTTAGGGTTAAGTTGTGACCAAGCCTTAGGAAAAGGGAGTCAACCCATGTTTTCCTGCTGTGCTTCTCTGTCTCAGGCCGAGTGCCAGGGCTACGGGATCAACGGCCACCTTGCCTCCATCCTTAGCTGGGCGGAGAACGAAGTTGTGTCGAGCCACATCACCAATAACCATAAGAACATAAAATACGTCTGGATAGGACTGCATAACGTCATGAGGGTAAATAACACTCATTCAACACACTTTTCAAGGGACAGCCTAGAGGTCACGGGAGGGTGCGGGAAGCAGGAAGGCAAGGAAAAAAACTGGCAGGGAGCAGCAGGAGGGCCTTCCACTGGCATTTCTGCTCAAAAGCCGGAAGTCACTTTAGAAAGCAATGTGTTCCCTGTATATAATTTTATTTTATTTTTTACATAGAGGGTAACATAGGAACAGGGGGGGTTAGGGTTTGTGAGGGAAGGGGATTTGTGAGGGAGAGGGGAAATCATAGCATACTAATATCCAATCTATACCTATTGCCATATCAAATCTAAAATCATTCTATTTACTCTTTTCTGCCTTGTGTATAAGGTTCTCATTTCACTATATATATTCAGCTACTACCTGTTGATTCAGTCCATTTATAAAATAAGTCCCATCTTTCTGTTGCCCTTTGCAAGGATTGGTCCTTCATAACTTCCGATAAGATGTCCATTTCGGCTATTTCCCGTATCTTTTCCATCAGATCTTCTTGTTCCGGCACCGCTGTACTTTTCCAATTTCTAGCATACATAATTCTGGCTGCTGTAATAATATATATAACTATA